TGATGTCTCTGAATCAGCGTGTAAATTAACAGATCCACAGCAAAAACGAAGACGTCGTCGACGGACGTATTTTTCCACTGAAGCTCTATCAATTCTGACAGAGTTTTATGCAAAGAACTCTAGACCGAAAGGTAAGCTTGTATTGAATGTGCTATTTTGCTATTTCAACGGCTAGATTTTTTTCCTTCACATTCCCATGTGAAACATACGGCTTCAAGCTAGTGGCTTGAAGTTTCTGCAGCAGTGATTATTTTTACAGGATGGTGTTGCTAGCCTCATGCCCAACCTTCCCTCTTTATCAGCGTTATTTCTGGCTTAGCGAGGTAAAAAAGTGCGTCGGCTGGGGATTGAACCCCGGACCGTGTGCATGGTCGGCAAGCGTCCTAATCGCTATGCCGCCGACGCACAACGGGTAGATAATTATGGTTATGTTATTATTACTCCTGTGGGCTCCGAATGGAACGTCGGTGGCACAGCGGTTAGGACTCCCGCCGACCATGCACATGGTCCGGGGTTCGAGCCCACGCCGACGCACACCTGATATCTATGGTCGGCCTGCTAAATTTGGGCTACCGATATCCATGCTGGAAATTCCATAGTTGTACCAAAAATACAGTATGGAATCAAGCTGTAATCAAAAATAGATAATAGTTCTCCAACAGTACATCTCTGTGTCATCCTGTTTTCAGCAGTTTTTTTTAGGTGGCTGCATTTCCTCTTCACATGATCATCGCTTAGATGTCACCTTTTGGACCCTCAACAAACTTGTCGTTTCCCATTCAACTTCTACTTGGGGGGAACTGGCGCCTCTGATGTCAGTCACTCAATGCCTATCCAATCCACTTGCGTTCCCTTGAAAATAATTGTCGGGCTATAGGTTGTTGTCGGGTCCATACCACGTTGGAAGCACCGATCCTCGTCCGATCACCGAAGTTAAGCAACGTTGAGCCCGGTTAGTACTTGGATGGTTGACTGGCTGGGAATAGAGGGTGTTACCGGCTTTTTGCGTCGGTGGCATAGTAGTAGAATGTTCGCTGATCACGTTTCGCGTGGTCCGGGGTTTCGCTCCCCGTCGACGCTCTCCTTTGCCTCGCTAAGCCACTAATAAAAGACTGGTAAAGAGGGAAGGTTGGGCATAAGGCTGGCTATCAATCACATCCCGTAAAAATAAATACCACTTCTACCGAAACTTTAAGCCTCTATCCTGAAGCCCTATGTTCCACTGGGGACCTATAGGAACCAAATTAAATATTAATTGAGGAGGGTGACTAAAATGTGTAAAGTTTGGGCTTTGTGGTAGTTTGTAAATCCAGAATAATTGATTAATTGGATATCACACGCATACTCCCAGTGAAACAGTATTATTCACTGGATGAAGAAGTCTCAAGCTCAGTTGTATCTACAGGAATAGAAAGCTGGATTTTTATAGTTCTCATCCTTCTTCCTTCTCATTTGTCATAGTGGTAGTAGAATTTTCTACGTGTGCTGCACAGGTAGGTGTTGAATCATTCTTATTGCATGTATTTTTCAGTTGACTTGATAAATAAGGCTTCAGTTATCAATCTGCCCCCACCCCTCCCACCTTGTTATATTAGATTCTAAGACTATCATCTTGTCCCATTGTATTGTGTTTAATTGCATATAGTGTGGTGAGAGCAGGCTGCTAGCCGATTGGTTGGCACTAATCTACGTTAATGTCTAGGTCACTAATATTGACCGTGAACAAGGCTGTTTCAACAACCAATCACAGCAAACCTAAATGTGGACAAATATGATTCGCAGATAGATGGCTCTACTTTCCGAGAAATATCGAACACAACCAATCATAAGACTGTGTTTGTCTGCTTAACTTCCGAGAAACAACCAATCAGAAGACTGCCTTTTTCTGCTTGCATAAGCCTTATTAATGCATATAAAATATATATAAATACGTGTTGATTTTCGTAATAAAACGATCTGTTGCCAGCCCTTGTCTTCTGTTGTTACATTTGGTGTCGCTGCCTCCAAGAAGATGAAGATCCCGTGGCCAGCTGCGTTTGAAGAAGGTGACATACGGAGCTTCTTACGTGACTTCGAAGCCGTTGCTGAGCTGGTGGGTGTCAAGGAGCAGGCGGCGAAGGCAGTTGTCCTGGGGACGCTGTTGAGAGGCCGAGCGAAGGCTGCATATGACAGCGTAGACAGGTCAAATGGCACAGCGTCTTGGAAGAAATTGGTTGAACGACTAGTGTCCGAGTTTGACAGCGAAACAGACAGACAGCTAGCAATGCAGCAGTTCCGGTCAATGAAGCTTGGACCTGATGGAGACCCGCTAGTGTTGGCGGTGAAACTGACTAATCTACTTCGACGCGCGCTTCCCACTTTAGATGAAGAATCAGAAGCGCAGTTACTGTCTTCCCAATTCATCGAGAGTGTCCCCGACCACATTTCTCAGCGATTAAAACTGGTTAACGCAACGCAGCCGATGGATATTAGTGAGCTGGCGAAGGTGACCAGACAGCTGCTGAGCACAACGGTAGCCGCTATAGACCAACCAAAACCAAACGAATATGAGCAAAAATTGAAGCATTGCAGCGGGAAGTGGCGGCGTTAAAGTTGGCTGATAGAAAAGACCGGTGTTTTGAATGCGGTAAGCCGGGACACTGGAGAAGATACTGCCCAGAAAGGCGAAAAAGAAAAAATTTCAGACGGTATAATGCTTGTTCTTTCTTTCGTATGAACCTAGGTTTAGTGGGGGCTATTGAGAAAGGCGCTCTGTATTCGAAGTTGCGAGTGAATGATCGAGAAGTAGTATGTTTGATAGATACAGGGCGGCCGTGTCGTTAATAGATAAGAATTTATGTAAGAGTGTTAATCCGTGTTCATTGACAGTACAAACAGTAGGCGGGTATGTGTTGCGTATCACGGGTAGATCGAACTGTACGGTCGTTGTTGGTGGCTGCGAGGTGACGTTTCCTTTCATTGTTGTACCCGAACTACAGCGAACGATATTAGGAGCGGATTTTCTGCGTGAGATTGGTGCCATAATCGACACGCAAGCGAACGTGGTGATCACGAAATACGGGCATATCAACATGTATGAGACCAGCGAGATAGCAGCGATTAAGCTGTCGACGGTACACAATGTGACAGAGTTAATTAATAAATACGATCATCTGTTCACTGGAGATGGGACCCATACGGTTATTGCGATAAGGTGAATCATGAAATTCCGTTAAGTGATCCTAAAGTAAGGTCATTTTTAACGCGAAGAGTTCCATGTCATCTGGAAGGCGAAGTGGAGCGACAAGTGCAAGAGATGTTAAAAGATGATATTATTGAGGAAGCTGATAGCCCATACAACTCTCCAGTGCTGTTAGTAAAAAAAGCGAATGGGAAATATAGATTCTGTGTTGATTTCCGACAGTTAAACAGTATGACAGAGTTAAGACCGTGTGCCATGCCAACAGTGATAGAAACCTTAGATCGACTACAAGGTGCGAATGTGTTTTCGGTTCTCGATCTTCGCTCAGGATACTGGCAGATACCGATAAAACAAAGTGACAGAGATAAGACGGCTTTCATCGTGGGTCAGACGCAATATCGATTTAAACGCATGCCGTTTGGACTAGCAGGTGCACCGTTTACGTTCAGGCGACTGATGAAGCTATTACTTAAGAACTTGAAAAACGTGGAGGTTTATGGTGATGATCTCGTCATATACAGTCAAACGAAAACGATCACGTCAACCATGTAGAAGCCGTGCTGCGACGCATCGAAGAGTTTGGACTACGCGTCAACAAAACCAAGTCTCAGATAGCCAAAAAGAATGTTACTCTGTTGGGACATAAAGTGGGAAATGGTGAGATTAAACCACTGCCGGAGAAAATTTTGACGATTAAAACGATTCCAGCCCCGAATTCAAAGAGAAAACTGAGACAATTCTTGGGTAGAGCAGCGTTTTATAGTCGCTTCGTGAAGAACTTCAATGAGATAGCAGCCCCTCTATACAGGCTACTAGGTGAGCCAAAGTTTGTTTGGTCGGAAGAATCGCAGAGGACATTCGACAGAATTAAACAGCTGCTCGACCACCAACAAATGACGCTAAAACTACCTGTGCCAGGAAGACAGTTCACAGTGTGCACAGATGCCAGTGACTACGCTATAGGTGCGGTCCTAAGACAGGACGAGGGAATCGTTGAGTATGCCAGTAGGGTGTTGACCCTCACAGAGAGAAAGTATTCAACGATAGAGAAAGAATGTTTAGCAATGGTATGGGCAGTCGACAAATGGAGACCTTATTTACTCGGCCGGCGGTTCCACATCGAAACTGATCATAAGCCGCTACAATTTTTGAAGACAGCGAGAGACCCACGGGGGAAGTTGTCACGGTGGATGTTGCGTCTTCAGGAATACGATTTTACGATCTCACACGTTCCTGGAAGTGAAAATGTCTTGGCAGATTTGTTATCGAGACCAGAAGATGAGTCTGAGTTGCCCGAGGTCGCTTACGGAGTGCATGCAGTAGAACAAGACCCACTAAGACTTGCACGTAGGCAGAGGTTGGACGATACGCTGAATACAGTAATACAGGTGATCACCAACGGAATAGAAGTGGATCAAACTACGGCGAGTAAGGAGCTAACCACACTACTCAGACAGAGGGATCGACTCAGAGTGAATGCCTACGGGACTCTGACCTGGCGAGAGAACGACGGAAGCTGGCTGGCTGTCATACCTCAATCGTCGCGCCACGACATGATAGAAGAATGTCACCAGCTAGCGCATACAGGCGTGGCCAGAACGACCGACCTCCTAAGACAAAGTATGTACTGGCCAGGTATGAGAGAAGACGTAGCAAGATACGTACTTGGATGTCCACGGTGCCAGCTGATGAAAGGTGACCGGTATATACGACCACCACTTCAGTCGATTCCAGTTACCGCGATAGGTGACTTGTGGTCCGTAGATGTCATGGGTCCATTTCCTCAGACATCCAATGGTAATCAGTACCTCTTGGTGATGACGGAACACGCGACACGATGGGTAGACGCCGTAGCAATCCCAGACCAACGTGCAAGAACCGTGACAGATGCAGTAGTTAGACACATTGTTGCAGACCACGGCGTACCGAAGACAATACTGACAGACCAAG